ACACACACACACACAGAGAGAGAGAGAGAGAGAGAGAGAGAGAGAGAGAGAGAGAGAGAGAGAGAGAGAGAGAGAGAGAGAGATGGAGAGAGTGTGTTCCGTGGACGATATTTTAGGAACGTTCTGGAAGCTTGAGTCGCTGCAGGATCCGAACAGCAGCTCGCAATTGGACCTGCAGAAGATGATGACGTCAACCGCGTTCTCATCATCCATGTCTACGAGGATGCACAGGAGCGCGTCGGAGTGGGCTTTTCAAGAGTTCTTGAAACTCCATGAAGGAGGTTTGAGTCTATCGTTGGGAGGAGGGGGAGGGGGAGGAGGAGGAGGAGGAGGAGGAGGAGGAGGAGGAGGAGTTGGTGGAGCGCTTGTGGCGGCTGCTGCCACTTGTAGTCAGTTGCTGGGCGGAGAGACTGCCACTTGTCACAATTTGTCAGAGCGATGCCCCGCCCCTCCTCCTCTATCTAGCGCCGCGGGAACTTCAACGACGAACGGATCTCTGTCATCTGCTTCCGCTTTTTATGTGCCACATGGGAGAGGAGGAGGAGGAGGAGGTGGTGGTATGGTCGGGCTGATGTGGCAATCAGGAGCACCGGCTGCGAGTGCGGGAGGAGGAGGAGGAGGAGAAGGGGCGGGGGTGGTGGGATTAGCTGAGAACCTCAAGCAGGGGGGTTCGGTAGGGGGGTATCGATGCTTGCAGCAGCAGCAGAGGGGTGGAGCAGCAGAGGAGAGAGAGGCAGTGGAGGGAAACGAGGTGGTAGGGAGAGAAGGAGGAGGAGGTGGTTGTAGGGTGGTGGCAGGAGGAGGAACAACAGCAGGAGGAGGAGGAGGAGGGGGAGGACGAGGGGATGGGAGAGGAGGAGGTACGGTGGTTGCAGGCGTACTAAGGCAATTGAGTAACGCTCAGAGGAACAGTCGAATAGAGGAATGGAGGTGGTGTGGGGAGGAGGAGGAGGGGGGGGCAGGGGGTGCAGGTGGGGGGTCTGCCGCTGCGCAAGGTCGTAGTACTCTACCTTTGATTGCGGAATTCCGTGGAGATGCTAATGGACATGTAAATGGCGATGATCGTGGTCATCATCTAGATCAAAGGGAGAGTCAAAATGGAGGAGGAGGAGGAGGAGGGGGTTTGGGAGGGTATCTTAGCTCCGCGGAGTTGACAAAGAACGGAGCTGCGGACGACGCGGAGCTGAGGAAAAGAGACACAGCTTTCAGGGAAAGGCTGGCTGTGGCCTGTGCAGTAGCGTCCACTATGGTAAGGAAGCATTCCTCTCTCTCTCTCTCTCTCTCTCTCTCTCTCTCTCTCTCTCTCTCTCTCTCTCT